GGGTGGTGGCCGGGGCCAACAGGAGGGCACAGACCCCTTGTCTCTAGCCTGTGGCAGCAGTGGGGTGGGGGCCAGCTTTTGCAGAGATGCTGGACCTCCGCCCTCAGATATGTCATTTTCTGGTCTTTTAATGCTGGTAACTAATTCATATGAGGAAAGAAGGGAGGAAGAAAGGGTGGGAGGTGGAAGAGGGGAGGAAGGAAAGGAAGGGGGAGGAGGAGGGAGGGGAACAGTGTCTGAGCTGAACAAAACAGGCCACGGGTTTGATTTATCCCGTGATCACCAATCTGTAACCTCCATTCTGGAGAACGAAAACTTGTGTGAGACAAGCAGGTGTTTAGTAGTTTTGGGGGGGGTATGTTTTCCCTTTTATGGTACTTTAATGTTTGTATGCAAAGCTTAAAACCCGACAGCAAGATATTAAACCTTCGTGGCCACTTAATCTTCCCGGTTGGATCAGACGTAACAAGTGCTGGAAAGCAGATGCTGCCCGTTTTTCTAAAATTTCTTCTATTTTCTTTATATTATTAGCTTTAAATATTCTTCTGAACGCACTCACCACCTCCATGTAGTTAAGCCGGTTCAATTTAAACATTGTTATAAAGTTAATTTTTTATAAGATGAATCAGGTTATTAAATTTAGTAAACCATTGCTTTCATTATTTTGCACAAACTTTGGCACTCTGCAGAATTGGCTCGGCACTACTACATTTAGCTAATTAAACTGGTCATCAGCCGTGGTATTAGGAGCATGAGGGATGCTATTCTCAGGAGTTTTTCCAAGATTTGAGCAGTAGGTAGCATTATTAAACTTTTTTTTCCTTTTTTTTTCCCTTCATAAAACTCCACACTCTAGAGATAGGGTTTACTAGGAGAGTGTTATTGTCCTTCCTGCTAAACCTTCATCTTTTGAAATATCCATGCTTTGGTTTTGGCTCCAAAGGCACCTGTAAAGGATAAGAAAATGGAGCTCTCTCTCACAGCTTTTAAAAGGAGACCCACAATGTGTAACGCGTTGCTCCGATAAGGGAAGACGTAAGAGCCAGAGGGTCATTTTACACGACGCAGGTAGATGGCTGAACTGTAACCACAGGCAGGGATTCTGTGAAACAGAGAGGGTGCAGACTTGTGGCTGCAGCCTGATGCTGTCATCACGTCGGGCACCTTCCTTTTTGTAATAAAAAGTCCTTTGCTGTAGGTCATTTTGTCAACTGAGATAGTGTGACTTAAACAGGTTTGTTTGGGAAAATAAATTTTTTTTTCAGGATTTTATTTATTTGACAGAGAGAGACACAGAGAGGGAACACAAGCAGGGGGAGTGGGAGAGGGAGAAGCAGGCTTCCTGCCGAGCAGGGAGCCCGATACGGGGCTCGATCAGGACATGAGTCGACCGCAGACGCTTAACGACTGAGCCACCCAGGCGCCCCTGGGGAAATAAATTTTGACAGGAAACGGGCATGCTCTTCCCCACAGATTTCTAGTTGGTGTCATCCAAAACTGCTGTGAGCCCTGTCTTTGCAGGATCTTAATATTTATTCATTGTTAAAAAAGGAAGTCAGAGGGCCATCAGTGTTGTTTGAAACAACTTGGATTGTTTTGCAGTAGTCCAGAATTGTAGCCTATAAACAACCTATACGAACCTGGCAGGTATTTGTTGAATCTCACTGGGTGTTAGTCCCATGGGACACAGGGATCAAAAAGGCACAGATTCTAAGGAGTTTATAGTTAAACTGCTAAATTCGATAAATGGAGCCCCAGGGTCAGCCTGGCCCTGTGTTGTCTCCATGCCCTCGCGGCCCCTTGAAAAGATGGTTGCTAACGAATGACCAAGCGTTGTGTCCGCCATCTTTCCCGACATCATTTTTTTTTCCTTTTCTATCCTCTGATGAAAATGTGATGAAAAATATTCTTTATTTTTTTTTATTTTTTGTTTTAAAGATTTTATTTATTTGAGAGAGAGAATGAGATAGAGAGAGAGAGCATGAGACGGGGGAGGGTCTGAGGGAGAAGCAGACTCACCACTGAGCAGGGAGCCCGATGTGGGACTCGATCCCGGGACTCCAGGATCATGACCTGAGCCGAAGGCAGTCGCCCAACCAACTGAGCCACCCAGGCGCCCCTATTTTTATTTTTTTTAAAGATTTTATTTGAGAGAGAGAGAGTGAGAGAGAGAGCCCAAGAGGGGGTAGGGTTAGAGGGAGAAGCAGACTACCTGCTGAGCAGGGAGCCCGATGTGGGACTCGATCCCGGGACTCTGGGATCATGACCTGAGCCGAAGGCAGTCGCTTAACCAACTGAGCCACCCAGGCGCCCTGATGAAAAATATCTTGATAATTGCTCTGACCTGGACATTTTACAGGGACACAGAGTCCACCATCTCAACAAGATCTTCTGGGAGTGCAGGTGAAGTCATTTTTGGCCACTTCACGTTCCCTCCATATGGCCGTCAGCATTTCATTAGTCTGATTGATGTAGCACATCAGTCAGCAAGATTTCGTCCTATGCCTGTCCCCATCCAGTTTTGGAACAGCTTGGCTACAAAACCTGGTGTTTTACTTCTTTCTCTTTCCCCAAATGATGTAGGTACCTTTTGCCACTGGTGGTAAGTGGTGTAATTGGCATCACGGATCAAAATTGGTAAATTTCAGGTTATTGTCTTCTTGCCTCAAGAAGATACAGTTTCAACCCGCTTTCATTACATACACCAAGGAGGTTGCAAACTGATGTAGATGTTAAGTATTTCAGATTGGAATTCCTTTGGGCATCATGTTAGCATCAGATTCAAGTATAGTATGTTGTCCTTAGATAATGGTAACGTGAATATCTCGGGATAAAGAACTTGGCATAATCTGAAAAATAACTCAAGTTATCTCAACAGTGAAGTTCCTGTGTGTTCCAGAGCCAATATTCACACAAATGGAATGGTGGATCTTGTAGCTAATTTCTTCAAATTCTGGTTGATATTAAAGCCAGTCAGCTCTTGGGTTGCTGCTGGGAGCAGATCGAGGAGAGAGTGTTAACTTTTCGGTTGTAATGACTGTTCTGTATTTGATAGATCATACAAATCACAGAGGAGACCCAGGAACTTTACACCAAAGATTTTGGAAAGAATGGGAATTAACACTTGTTTTCCACCTACTTTTGTTATATTAGGCTCTTAGTGTAAGTTAACTGCTTACTCCTCATTTTAAGAAAAGATCTCTGAGTTTCTGGTGGGTTAAAGTCATAGCCCACAGCTTATAAATAGCTAGAGCTGGGGTCAACATCAGTATGTCAAACTCCTGAGTTTGAGTTTCCCCCTGTGACCTGTGCTGGCCTCTGTGAAGATTAGATATATGGAAGATAGGAATGAGTGAATTTTGCTAGACTCTTTCACATGGCAATCTCCGTAAGATAATGGTACTCTGATTTTGCGTACATATAAACAGTATCTTGGAAACAATCATCTGCGGTCATTTGACATGGCTTTGGCTGAATCACGTTGCTGCTCCCTCTAGTAGGACTGATTGGTTTGTTGCTGTGGTGCACTCCGTGTGGTCTCCCATGCAGCTTACAAGAGGTGCCTGAGAGCAATGGTGTGGGCTTTAGGCTCTGGAATTAGACTTTATAAGAGTTCTAGTTGTTCCACATTCTTGCCAATGTTTGGTCTGGTCATTTTAATGTTTAGCCATTGTAGTAATGGGAATGTAGTAGTATCTAATTGAATCTTTTTAATTTTATTATTATTATTATTTTTTAAATCTCACTGTATCTTTACACTTCCCTAATGACTAAAGAGTTTGAGGCTTATAAAATAGTTGTTTTTTTTTTGCTTTTTCTATTTTGTGGAAGAATTTTTGGAAGATCGGTGTTTTTATTTTCTTAAATGTTTGGTAGCCTTTCTGTTCAAAACATGGATCCAGAGTTTTCATTTTGAGGCTTTTCTTTAAATATATAGAATTTTTCCTAGATTATGCATTGTTATTGTCAACAGAGTAATTCTGCTATGGATTCCAAAATTTGCAAGCTATTATTGTCATCATTTCGATTTTTCCATAAACTTACCTTTGTGTTACTCTTTGTTACTTTCTGCACCTCCAGATTTCGAGGGTCGTTTTCCTCCTTCTTGAAGAGCATCCTTGAATGTCTCCTCTAGGCCAGATCTGGCCATAGATAGTGACAGCCTCTCAGCTTTTCATTTGTGTTGTTTGGTTTGTTTAAAAATTTGTTCACCTTTACTTTTGAAGAATTCCTTCACTGGGCATGGCAGCACCAAAGCTGGCTCATCTCTCTTGGCTTTCCCGCCTTTCCAGGTCCCCAAATCCTCAGTCATAGTGTCCCTCTGATGCCTTCAAGGATGTGTGCATGTGTGTGCACATGTGTTGTTTGGTCCAGCTCTTTTAATTGTTCTCAGTGGGAGGGTGGGTGTAAGAACTCCAGGCTGCCATTTTTGGATGCGTGTAGCACAGCACAGAGTGCATTGTCCAGAACATAGTAAAAATGTTGTATGTTTGTTTTCCTTTGCAGGTCTGTTTTTTCTTATTATAATGAGTGTGAACTCTTCAAGGGCAGTGGCCATGTCTGAGTCTTTATACATGCTTATTCTTTATATTTAACACAGGATCTTCTCATTAGGCGGTTGTTATATATGGGGGACTGTGCTGTGAGCTCTCCTATGGTTTGTCCTACGCCTTGGGGATGGTGTGTTCCTGGGCTAGGTTTTCTCAACCTCAACAATGTTGACACTTAGGGCCAGATGATTCTTTGTTGTGGGCACTGTCCTGTACTTTGTAGGGTATTTTGTAACACCCCTGTCCTTTACACACTAGAGGCCAGTAGCACCCTGTCCCCAGTCGTGACCACTGAAAATGTCTCTACACATTTGCAGCTGTCTACCAGGGGACAGATTGCCTCTGGCTGAGAGCCTCTGGGGCAATGTGTGCGGTGCTCAATAAAGGCCCTTCAGGTGAGTCAGTGTTTTGCATTGTGTCTTCTAACCTTGACTTTCCTTTAAACCATAGGGTTTGAAACTGCCAAGTCTTTTGCCCTCCATGGTGCACACGTGATCCTTGCCTGTAGGAATGTGACAAGGGCCAATGAAGCTGTGTCACAGATTTTAGGAGAATGGGTAAGTAAGCCCTTGACCATTTTTTTTTTAATTGTCAAATACACATGCTGGGATAAACACATGGAGGTTTTAGTGCAGTGCATAAAATTTATTGCTCTTCAAATAACGTTTCTTTATTTTTAAAATCGTATTAGCTTTGTTTATTTTATGAATGAAAGGACAAGCAAGCCTGTATCCATACATTGTTTATGGTTCATTGTCAATGTCATCTGCTTTATTAGTCAGAGGTTTGAGAATGTGTACTCATTCAGCTCATTTATTAAGAAAATAAAATGTGGTTAACGCCCATGCATACAGCTAAGAGTTTGTTATGCTAATGGTTTTTAAGATTGGAAGGGGGTGGGCTTTAACCCTCTCTGTGTTTTTTACTTTTCGCTTTTCTCTCTCTGCGTGGATGTTGGTGCTGATACGTCTGTGCACAAACATTTATCAAAGGCCTGCAGTACTCTGGAGGCTGAGGATGTAGCATATCAAACAGAACAAAATCCCTGCCCTCCCTTGGGCTTACCGTCTAGGTACGGAGAAATGGACCATAAGGGTTAATTATATTTAATATTTAACACCCTGCCGGGTTGTTATAAACACAAAGAAGCACAGTGAAGCAGAGAGAGGGATGAACAGTTACAGTGTGGGCTATTTTAGTTTGGGTACTTAGCAGAGAACTCTCTGAAATGGTGATATTTGATATGAGACTCGAATGAAGTAAAGTAGCGAGCTGCGTCCGTGTCAGGGGACATGCTTTCTAAGTGGTGGGAACAGCATGTGCCAAGGCACAGAAGTAGGAGTGTGCCTGGAGGATTCAGGATCAGCAGGGAGGCCAGTGTGGCTGGAGCCAGATGTCAGGGGCAGAGGTGACAGAGGTGCTGCGGGGGTGTCCCTGCGGCCGCAGAGCCAGTGAGGAAGAAGACAGCAGGGGTTTGGGCTAGAGAGTGGCACATGTTGGTCACTTCTGTAGCATGATCCCTGGGCTTTGGCATGAAGTATAGACTGTGTTCATTTATTTGCTTGTCATTCACATGTTTATGACGTGTACCCCGTCATGGGTACTGGGGGCTATACTGTCTCTGTACAGCTTTCACCCCAAAGTGGAAGTCAGATTTAACCAAAGACACAGAAACATCAGTGTGAACCTGAAATGCTGGTACTAGGTACTAGCATGTAGTACTCGTGAATAAGGCCTGGAGGTGGGGGACATTAGGAGTTTCTGAGAAGGAAGCGACGGAGCTGAGATCTCAGGAAAGACCTGGGGGAGGTTGGAAAAGGTTGGACCGGGCAGAGGGAGTGGCCTGTGTGCGCACCCCTGGGAGGGGGGAGGGGAAGAGCAGGAGGAGACCCTCGTGTGGCTCTTAGTGGAGCATTAAGGGGGTTGGATAATCCTTCCCAACGCTGTCTTTGTTTTCTTCTTCTTCTTCTTCTTTCTTAAAGATTTAGTTATTTGGGAGAGAGAGAGAGAGAGAGCAGGAGCAGGAGGGGCAGAGCGAGGGACAGAGAGAATCCAAAGCAGACTCCACGCTGAATGCAGATTCCGACAGGGGGCTTAATCTCAGGATCCCGAGATCACGACCTGCGCCGAAACCAAGAGTGAGACGTGCCACCCAGGCGCCCCCCTCTCCTTTTTAAAAAATTTTTTTTTTTTTTTTATTAAAGATGTCTTTGTTTTCTGAACACTGTGGAAGATTTCTTGCCATTGGAAGAAACAGACCATGATTCCTTTAGGACAGTGTCTGGTGTTCTAGGCTAAAAAGTTATCAAAGTTAAGAAAAGGAAGATTTGTTTCTGCTTTTTTACAGTATATTTCAAATGAAATATTACAAATTCAGTATATTTCAAATGAACCCTTGTCTTGAGTTCTCTGAATTCTTTATTTTGAGTTAAATCGAAAAAAAAAATACAGGGCCCATTTTCTTTTGATGATCTTAGTATCTCTGTAATGCTTAAGTAACAGCCTGTATTAGGTGAGGTAGTCATCGCCTTCAGAGATGTACAAGGTGAACAGATGGTAACACGGGCATAGGGTCTGCATCTTCGCACAGGTCTGGGAAGGTAGAAAATAAAAAGTGAAAATCCCTCCCAGGACTTCTCTTGGAAGGTAAATATTATTAACCGTTTCCTATATATTCTAGGAAACATACACATGCTGTTACATACTTTGAATTTTTTCACTTAATACCATCAGGAGATCTCTTCTTATCAGTGCATCTAGGTCCACCTTGTTTTTTCACTGCTGTATAATCTCCATCGTGTGCTTGTGCTCCAACTTAGCTGAGCAGTGTCCCTTTTGGTGGACTTTGAGGTTGTGTTGTTTTCCTATTCCGAGTGATGTTCTCTTAAAGTTCAATCTCCTGTATTTTCACCCAAAATTGGGTCTAAACTGTCCTGCAGTGAGCATTCTTCATATATACTTTCATGAGTGACATAGGGCAGAATGTTAGCAGTGGACCCATTGATTCAAAGGGTGTTTGTATTTAAAATCTAGCAGCTTCCCAGTAGTCATCTGGCGGGATCATAGTGGTTTCTGTCCCCACTGTCAACGAGGAAGACGACCGTTATCTAGCAACAGACAGTGTCAAACCTGCCATTTCGCCCATCTAGTGTTATACTTAGACTGGACAAAATGGAATTCAGTGGCCCTAGTGATACTATAAGAACCATATTGTATAATGATAGGAATATTTAAACCAGTCTTGGAAGGTAATACTAAAATGTAAATGTTTATGCATTTTAAAAATTATCTTCTTTCTTCCTTATGTAGGAGCACGGTACATCTCTATTTAACCCATTATCACCATTGTTTGATGCAGAGAGGCAGCAAGTCCTCGGTGTTCCCTGTTTACCTGTGGGGCCTTAGCGAGCCTTTCAGTCTATTTTGTGTCTTCCATTTCCTCACCTCTGACAAAGAAGGTTGAATGGCATGAGCATAAAGACCCACCATTTAGTTTCTCTTTCTTGCATTTGAAGCCGTACTTGGGTGTCTGGGAGTCAGTTTCAAATGACACAATGCATCCTTACCTGCTTTCATTCTACGATATCAGTCTCTTGACGTCGCCTGGCCAACAGTGCTCCCAGAGAAAGAGTTACCCCAAAATACTCACTGTCAGACACATGAGTAAAGGAAATGGGAACAATAACAAAACTAATACTCACATGGCATTTCAAACATTTAAATCAAATTTTGTAGGTTGAGACTAATCTCTTTATCATGTCTCATCTCTTTGCTTCTTCCCTGTGAGCACCGTTCTACCATTTCTTCATCCCCCTAGATTATGATTGTGGAAGCTCAAGTATGGTACCAAAAGCCAGTTCGTGTTGTTGCACTATCACCATAGTGTCAAGAGTATGCAAACCTGTCTTTGTGATCTGCCGTGAACTCGCCTCGCTACCCCACCGTCAGGGAGTGCTGGGCTGGCTGCCTTCAGGCCCTTCCCTACCTCATCTCTGTGCAGGGCCTTAATCTGGCACGTCATTAAATACCACCTTCTTGTGTTTCTCAAGGTCAATTTGATTGACTCCAGTTTTTCCAGCTGCTAGCCAGCTTGAGCATGTTCATACTTTATCTGGGATGAATCCTATCGGTAGCAGAGCCAGGACGGTACTGCAGCATATTGGCGCCTCACGGGAGACTTGAAATGATCCAGAGTTTTTTGTTGCAGCAAAAGCTCTCTCCGAAGTCTGTGGGCCATTTGGCTCAGCATTGGCTTGCATGTGCCAGGGCTCTGTGGACATTCTCAGCTTGGCTCTGGAGATGGAGTTCATGCCTCCTTCCCCAACTTGTTCTTCCCTGCCTGGTCTTTGCTTCCCTGCCTTCACGGCTCTTTCTAGAATTACCATGTTCCAGAACCTTCATGTCTGCCTCCAAGCCGGTGGGACATTATTCTCATGGTCACCATGGGGCATCTCACAACTACCCTTTAGTGAGTCCCTGTCATGTGCTGTGTCCCAGGTGAGGCACTTTATATCCCTGTTCAGGAGATACAAAAGCCTGGTTTCCTCCTTTTTGCAGAAGAGCCAAGCGAGGGCCCAGAAGGGTAAAGGGACCTCCCAGAATCCCACACCTGATGAGCCCGGAGGCAGGTTTCTGGCACAGTTTGTCCATCTGGCCTCCAAACCCAAAGTCTGTCTACTTCATGACCCGGCTTTTCTACCACATTCGGCATTACGCATGTTTGTGACCTTTCAGGCTTTGCTTTCAGAATTGCTAGATGCTATCTGAGGGATTAATTTCAGGATTAACCCTAATTTCTCACAGGGAGCAACACTGATGTACCTTATTGTTCTAAGCAATCCCTTTTCATTCAAGACATCCTTTATAGAGTTCTCAAACCAGTTTTGGGGGATCTAGCTATTTAGTAAAATACAGCTTAAATGAAAACACATTCCATATGGAATTATATTAAAAGCCTATATGTAATTATGACTACTAATAATTATTTCATGGGAAAATGCCCTCCTGCTGAGATGTTTTGGTTGCTTGAAAGTTAGTAATAAGAATTAAAAACAATTAAAATTGGATAACATGGACAATATAGAAGTAAACTATCCTCTTAAAAGCCCAATCGATTTAGCATAATTTAAAAAGGAGGGACGGGAAGGAGGCCCATCATTCCCCAATTGTATTTAAATGAAGTATCTCTGGAACTGGGGTTCAGTACCTGTGTTGTTAAGCAGTCCTTAGGAGGATGTGATCTACCTCATTCGTGTCCTTAAGTGGATTACGGACTGGTGTCCCCTCCCTCTAAGACAAGCACCTGATTTTTCCCTGGGTATGCCAAGGACCCCATATGGCTGGCTAAGTAGGAAGTTTACTTTGCTGTTTTCACGATCGGGTGGATTCTCTTTCATTTAGCAGCACTGTCTGGCTGTTAGGATTCCATGTGAGTTCTCTATGTTTGGGACACTGATAGATTTGTCTGAGTCCTCGCTGTGCTGTGTGGTTGATACTTTCCTTTCCTCACTAAGTTTTGTTGCTGTGTTTATGGAGGTATGGCCTGTCCCACTCTCCA